TAACAAACGATTATCTTTCTAAAATTTAACGTGAAAAATTCAACTAGTAACTAAGGCGGAACCTGTCGAGAAACAGATTTTTCTTTTGTTGTCAATTTCCGATGGATGAATCAAATTACCTCCACTGAAATTTGAATCTTTGCATTTATGAGATACCAAGTAGATATTTACTTATTAATCAAGTATGGCCTTAAAAAAAAATTTTACTTGATTTAACTATTGGTAAAGTACAAATCTGAAAAGAGAGTGGGAACTTTGATTAAAATGTAAATAGTTATATCTGCTTGAATTGATGGCATTTTGGCACAATCGGGTTTCAACAATTCAAAAACGATCATTACAGTGCCGACTCAAGAGCACGGAGAATACGAGAATGGAAGACACCTCCTCTATGTCTCTAGTAGATTAATAAAACCCAGGAAGATGGCTAGGGAATGATAAAATGCCATCAAAGTGGAAAGGAATAAATTAAGGTTAATTACATTCACACCTTTTAATACATGGCTCTGGACCCAGGCAACAGCTCCTTCGAATATCGGGTGCCATGAAATATACTCGTTGCGGAGCACAAGCCCGCCTTGATGAAGGTCGTAAATCAACCTCTTCTGATGCAGTTCGCAAAGAGGGTGAAACTGGCGATATAATGCATTCTTATCGTCATGAAGATTGAATAAGGATCGGTTTTAAATGCTCAATTATGGCTTACGTGAAAACGTGACCAAAGAATGCACCAAATATACATCACCGCCCAAAAAAACATTCTTTTTCCCAAAACTGGAAAGCAATCTGTTTAAAAGGACTTTTGAAAGAATGTAGCTTGATTCTTGGCTGTAACTTACTCCCATCTTTTCAGCCTGTTCTGTGAACACTGACATGCATTCTAGAAGACATATAAAGCATTCATTCTAAAATTAAAAATACGTACATCTTAGGTGGTTCCTTTTTTGTTCAAAGTGATACTTCCTATTTTCGGTGAGTTGGTAATTCAGTTCTCATAGCCCTCAACGATGTGT